GACAGAAGTGTGGGTATTACATCACTGGCAGCGAGCAGTAGAGAACAGAGCTGGTGGTGGAAATGGTCCTGGGTGGGGGAAGGTGGTATTATGGAACAGAGGGACAGTGCGCAGAGTGGAGAGCAGGAGGGCCTGGGGCAGCAGAGAAGGCAACAGGCAAGGAAACAACAATGACAATAGAAAAGCGGAACTTCAGTAGGAGAATACTCCGATGACATTGGAGATGAGTGGGAGAGACACTCAGCCACGTGGGCCTTCATATAAGGCCAGTGAAGGTTGGAGATCTAAGTAAATGTCTGTTGAATGAGTGAGTGCATGTGTACACCATTCCTACTATGTGTGTGTGTGTGTGTGTGTGTGTGTGTGTGTGTGTGTGTGGTAAGAGGTACACAATGTGCATATGTGCATCAAGAAAACTTGGAAGGCAGCCTTTGCAAAGCTGAGGGCACACCTTTTCTGCCCTAGGCCATGTAGTTGATGGGCTTCTCTACTGATGACAACCAAGCAATAGTGAGGTAGATCTGAAGTGCTCGGGTTGGATTCTATGACCAGTGTAACGGGGATTCTAAAAAGTATAGTACTCGGTATGACTGCCTGGTAGAGGGCAGAGTGTGAGCCAGAGGGCATGAGCCAAGGCTCAGCATCTGGAAGGCTGTGATCAATGTAGGCAGGGGCAGATGACAGGAAAACAGGCTGGGAATTATGTCTGATGTGTCTGCAGAAGCTCAGCAGTCCCTTGGGTCCCCAGGAGTGCCACCATCCTAAGGTGCAGTACTTTAGACACTGCCAACAAGCACTAATGGGACAGGGAGTGGAGGGCACAGGACTGGAGTTTTTTTCTACAGAGCTCTATCTGTTACCTGCTAGTTATGGTACTGACCTGCTTACAGTCAAGGAAGGTTACTCAGTATGTTTAAGAAAATTTTCTAATTAGTATTTAAAATGTTTAAGCTTAAAATGTTTTAAAGCTCTCTGGCAAATTCCAAAATGACTCATTCCCTAAAAATTCCAAATACGCATCATAATTTGCATTTAAAAAGTATTTTCTGCTTTCCAGAGTGTATCTGTAGACATTATCCCCTTTGATTTTCACAACATTGCTCTGAGATGGGTAAAGATATTTTGTTGTTTTTGTTTGGTTGGTTTTTTAATTCATCTCTGTAGGGAAAGTAAAGGAAAATGGTCAGGGCCCCTCAGATGTTCAGAGTTTTGCTGAGCATTTGATGTAAATATGCACGTGCACCCAGGTGTTCCTGGGTTATTGTCTAATGTAACTGCACATGTGCACCCAGGTGTCCTGGGCTATGGACTTAAGTATAAAGGACGAATGGTTCTGATCCATGGAGCCCCCCGCCCCCACCCCCAGGATATGGGGGTGGGGGGCACAGGGAGGCTGCTGCTGCTAGAGGCTGTTGCTGCAAGCTGTTGCTGCCAGTGTGCCCGGGATGCCCCGAGAGGCCACCACTTCTGCTGCTGCTACTGCTGAGGACTGAGCTCGTGTCCTCTGCCAATGGTTCCCGGGATCTTTCCCAATTACCTAGCATGGACCTGCGTGTGAGGAGTCTGGTGCCCCAGCTTGGCATGTGAGGGGTTTGTGACCCAGTCTGTACAATGGGCTTGAGGGGTCTGTGAGCCCTAGCCCTAGCAAT